TTTCTCCACATCCATACCAGCACTGGTTGCTTTTGTTCTTTTGAATGTGTGCCAGTCTCTGTGGTGTGAGATGATTATTTTATTGTTTTGATTTACATCTCCCTGATGATTGGCAATGTAGAACATTTTTTATGTGCTTTTTGGCCATTTGTATTTCTTTTTTTTGAGGAAGTTTCTGTTCATTTCTTCTCACCATTTTTTGATGGGGTTGGAGGTTTTTTTGTTGTACAATTCTACTAGTGTTTTGTATATCCTGGATATTAATTCCTTATCAGACGGGGATTGGGTAAATATTCCCATTCTGTGGGCTCTCTCTGTATTTTGGCCACTGTTTCTTATGAGGTGCAGAAGCGTCTTAGTTTGCTGTAGACACATTTGTTTATGTTTGTTTCCATTTGCTTGGTCAGTGGTGTTTCATCGTTAAAGATGCTTTTAGCTTTAATGCCATGGAGGGTTCTGCCTGCATTTTCCTTCATGTACCTTATTGATTAATACCTGATATTGAGGTCCTTAATCCACTTTGATCTGACTTTTTGACTGGCATTAGACAGAAGTCAGACTTCATTTTTTTGCAGGTAGCTCTCCAGTTTTCCCAGCACTGCTTATTGAAGAAGCTTTCCTTGTTCCACTTCACATTTCTTGCTCCTTTATCAAAAATTAAGTGATCGCATATTTGAGTCTGTGACAAAATATTCAACTCTGTTCCATTGATCTGCAGGTCTATTTCTAGCCCAATACCATGCTGTTTTCATTACTACTGCTTTGTAATACAATTTGAAGTTGGGGAAGGTGATGCCTCCCCATTTTCTTTTTCCCAAGGATTGCTTTACCTATTCCTGGGGGTTTATTGTTCCATAAGAATTTCAGGAGTGTTTTGTTTATTTCTTTGAAAAATATCATGGGTATCCTGATAGGCACCACATTAAATCTATATAGGGCTTTGGGGAGTATTGTCATTTTGATAATGTTAATCCTCCCTATCCATGAGCAGGGGATGTGTCTCCATTTCCTAGTGTCCTCTTTTATTTCTTAAAGTAGTGTTTTGTCATTTCTCTTGTATAGATCCTTCACTTCTTTAGTTAAACTGATTACAAGGCACTTGATTTTCTGAGGTACTATTGTGAACGGGATTTTTTTTAAAATGTCTCTTTCTTCTCTTTCATTATTTGTATATAGGAAAACCATGGACTTTGGGTGTTGATTTTGTAGCCTGCCACTTTACTATACAAACCTATTGTTTCTAGGAGGTTTTCTGTAGAGTCTTTAGGATTCTCTAAATATAGTATCATATCGTCTGCAAATAGTGATAGCTTATACTCTTCTTTTCCCATCTGTATACCCTTGATCTCTTTTTCTTGCCTAACTACTATGGCCAGAACTTCTAGTACTATGTTAAATAGGAATGGTAAGAGCCATTGTGTTGTACTGGATCTTGGAGGAAAGCCTTTTAGTTTCTACACATTGAGAATGATTCTTGCATGGGCTTGTGGTAGAAGGCTTTGACTACATTGTGGAAAGTTTCTCCAGGCGCTCATTTTGCTGAGAGTTTTCATCATAAATGGGTGCTGGATCTTTTCAAATGCTTCCTCTGCATCTATTATTATGATCCTATGGTTTTTATCATTTCTTTTAATGATATGATGGATTATGTTGATTGACTTGCAAATGTTAAACATTCCTTGCATCCACAAGATGAATCCTACTTGGACATGGTGTATGATCTTTTGGATGAGTTTTGGATTCTATTTGCTAGGATTTTGTTGAGAATCTTTGTGTCTATGTTTATCAGGGATATTGACCTGTAATTCTCTTTCTTTGGTATCAGGGGGATACTTGCTTCATAAAAAACAGTTTGGAAGTGTTTCTGATTCTTCAGTTTCCTTGAGAAACTTAAAGAGGATTGGGAGTAAGTCCTCTTTAAAGATTTGGAAGAATTTACTAGTTAATCCATCTGGGCCAGGACTTTTGTGCTTGGGGAGACTTTTAATTACCATTTCAATTACCTTGATGATGATAGGTCTGTTCAGGTATTCCAGGTATTCTTGGTTCAGCCTCAGAAGGCTATAGGAATACAGGAATTTACCCATTTCCTCGAGGTTTTCTTGTTTCATGGTATAAAGATTCTCAAAGTAATCTCTAAGGATCCTTTGAATTTCTTTGATTTCTTCTGTGACATCCCCTTTTTGTTTCTGATTCATTTTATTAGGGTTTCTCTCTCCCTTTCTTTGTGAGTCTAGCTAGAGGTTTATCGATCTTGCTTATTTTCTCAAAGAACCAGCTCTTGGTTTCATTTATTTTTCAAAAATTTTTTTGGGCTTCTATCTCATTAATTTCTGCTCTAAGTTTTATTATTTCCTTCCTCCTGCCTGGATTGGGCTCCTTTTGTTGGTCATTCTCCAAGCTCTTAAAATGTGAGATTAGGTTACTTATGTGGGCGCACTCTTCCTTCCTGAGGAATGCTTGTCGAGCTATAAACTTTCCTCCTAACGCAGCTTTTGCCATGTCCCCTAAGTTCTGGTAAATCGTGTTCTCATTTTCGTTCACAACTGTAACCTCATTCTTGTGCTCTGCTCCCACACTGATCAATCACCTTTGTCTTCTAATCAGACTCTGTTAACTTATAAATATTGCTTTTCTCTTTTCCTTATGTCATTGTATAGTTAATTAAGAGCAATGTCCTTTTTGTATAGACACAGGAAGACAGTTAATGCTATGCTTTTTAACTTGGGAGTTAATTGACTCCAAATAATATTCATTCCTGGGCATCTGTTTTCTTGACTTAAGCTTCAGTTACTCTTACTTCCTAGCACCTCAAAAGTAGGTCCCAATGAGGAACTGGATGGACCCAGGGCAAGCTGTGAGCTACCCTTGCATCAAAAAGGGCCAGAACAAAGCGCCATCATACTTAACTATAAGTTAAGAGCATGGTCATGGACAAATTCTGTCCTGATCCAGAAAAGTAACAACTGTATTAAGACCCTGCTAGGGTTAGAAAAGACTAACCCGGCCTGAGCACTGTAGTCTGAGATCTATAGCGAGATTCCCCCAGGAAAGCCATCCTATAAGTATAATGTATCTCTTACTATGTCCATACAAAATGGATAATATTATTAGGAAGTAAAATTAGATGAATGTTCAAAGTATCTTGCCCACACAGCAAAGCCTGACAAGCTACCCGTGATGTAATTGATATGCCAAACATAGTAACAACAAGTCTCACAATGGAAACGTTACTGGGCCCACTCGAGCAAATTGATGAACAATGGGAGGACAGTGCTACCGTGCTACAGTTTAAATTATTGTTGGACTAAGGAAAGTAGATCTCCTTGCTGCAGGAAATCAGGAAGGGCTTTTATATGTTAATTGTGCTACCAGACCTTGCTACTGCTGATGTTTGGAGGGTGAGGGAGACTAGACAGAGCAAGATGGCAAGTCGGGAGTGTGGAGAGACTAACAAGGGGGACAGGATGAGATAGAAATGAAGGACAGGGTGAGACTCGAATGAGGAGCTGGAACAGGCACGTGGGCAGAATGGAATAAAAAGGCAACTGATCATTAACCAGCTTGGCCCTTGTTTCTTCCTTCGTCTCCTTATGGTATCGGCTGTCCCAGGTGGGGAAGCAGCCTGAGATCACCAAACGCAGGCAGCAAGAGAGAGCCACAGACTTCTCATTCATTTTATGAATACACAAATACCAGTTTCACTTACCTGTTGCTTGTAACAAAATGCCCCCAAAGTTAGTGACTCCAGTCATTAATTTGTTAATTTTCATAGATACATTGCTTGGCAGTCTAGATCACTGTTCTGTTTACAAGTTCAGTCAGCTGATGATTTTGCTGAGACTGTCTTCAATCAAATGTTCGGTTGTTGATGCTAGCTACCAATACGTGGACTCAACCCTCAGAAAACTAAACTACATTTCTTCAGATGATGAGCCCAGGCTCCTGAGTTTCTCACAGATTCAAGTAACCTACAAAGTTTGTCAGGGGAATCCAGTGAGAAAAGAACAACACCTTTCAGAAAGATACACAAATTCTAAGCATTCAGCTATACTTACAAAATTGCACTGAGAGTAAGCAGAGGATTGTAATAGAGGAGAATAATGTAGGGGTCAGGGTGATAGTTCAAGCAGGGGCACAGGATAGATCCCTGGCATTACATGGGAGCACTGAACTGGGAGTAGCCCCTGAGCACTGCCTGTAACTGCCCTAAAACAAAGCAAACAAGGAGGAGGAGGAGGAGGAGGAGGAGGAGGAGGAGGAAGAGTGGAGGAGGAGATGGAGTCGGAAGAGGAACAAGTCTAAATGGAAATTTTTAAGTTGCAGTGTAGATTGAAAAGTCCACCTTATTACTCCTTAGCATCTACAAACTAGACAGTAAAGTCTAAATAGTCTAAATACTACTTATGGGTTAAATGGTAAGAGTTAAGAATTTTCAATTAAATCATGAATAAAAATGTTCCAGGTTGCCAAATTAACTGCCTGGAATTAGTTGCATCCAAAAGTTTTTTTTAATGTGTAAGGGTGACTATTGTGAACAGCACGCATCTTGCATCCCGAGTGAGTTCTCCAAACATCCTTTGCTTGGTGTTCCCTTCTCTATCTGAGCTACTTTTTCCCCTCAGCATGTGAGACTGGCTTCCAAGCCTTGGAGCAGACCTCCTGGTACTTATCTCAACTATTCTTTGGTGTTTGACTCTTATTCTCTTACTTTATATTCCCCAGGTGAGTGCAGTCTTTCTATGTCTGTCCCTCTCTTTCTGGTTCACTTCACTTAGCATGATACTTTCCATGTAGAACCACTTGTATGTAAATTTCATGACTTCATCTTTTCTAACAGCTGCGTAATATTCCAAGCCAAAAGTTTGTAAGTCTACAACTGTACCTCATGGTGTTTCATTAATAAAATAAGTAAATAAATAATGAAAGGTTTTGATATATACAATAAAAAAATAAAAATAAAGTATAAGGATGAGAGCTGCACAGCGGTCTCAGGCCTGATGGTGGCCAAGGAAGTCAACAGTATCAAGGGGCTGGGGCCTGGGGGCAAGAAGCCTGTCACCTACTACTGTTTGAGTGAGGTGGCAAAACGCAACTCCATGAAGGAGATATGGCTGGTGATCCACAGGCATGTCTACCATATCACCTGCTTCCTCAGTAAGCATCCTGATGGAGAAAAGGTGTTGCTGGAACAGGCTGGAGCAGACGCAAGGGAGAGCTTTGAAGACGTTGGCCACTCCTCTGACACCAGGGAGATGCTAAAGCAGTACTGTATTGTTGATGTGCATCCAAGTGACCTTAAGCCTGAGAGTGGTAAGAAGGAACCTTCAAAACGTGATGCGTGCCAAAGTTGCTGGTCCTTTTAGATCTTCCCCATCATAGGCGCTGTTCTCTTAGGCGTCCTGCACTGTTACTTCACGTCAGAAAACCAATCTTCCTGAGGAGGCCTTGTCAGAGTCTGGAAAGCAAACCCACGTGGGAGTGAGAACCAGAGACTGTTGGGACGCTGAGTACTGCCCTGTTTGCGAATCCTACCCATCTCAGCCCCTTGGAGTCTTGATGTTTACCAGGCACCCTGTCCCTCCACACCAACCAACTCTCCGAGCTTTGCTTACTGTTCTTGCCCCTGCCTCAGCTTCCTCTGCCTTGGTTTCCACAGGCTTCTCTACCTTTCGAAACTCACTTTCCTGATTGTCACTCTTCTTAGTTGTGTTGCCCCCCACCCCACCCAGGTAAAATGCTTTTCAAAACATTGAATTGCTTATTAGACGTGCCCAGAAGATGGCGAGCACTCTCTGGAAGTACACTTGAGAATGTTTCGGCTTCATTTTATGTGTCATTAGTGGTTTAGTTTATGAAATTGCCCGCTAGACTTTAAGCACATCTGCCCAAGCTCTGTGTTCCTTATTTGTATTTGTTGAAACTAGAAAGAACCGCATCATCCTCATGTGATTTCAGCTGATCCTCTCCTTCCCCACCCAGCAGTTCTCAGGGCTCACTCTTGGCAGTGCTCAGGGGACAATTTAGGATGCCGGGATCGAACCCGGGTCTGATGCATGTAAGGCAAACGCCCTCCCCTCCTCCCTGGGCTAGTGTGGCAGGCCGGGCATGCCACCCACGGAGTCAAGGCTGTGTGATTCCCACCTGGCACTATGTGTCTTTGCTTCCCTTTTGTTTACTGAGAACACAGAGAAAAAGGAAAGGGAGAGATAGAGATTGGAGCCATGGCATGATCCAATGTAACTGTTTCTTCTAAAGAATATTGAACACATTAGGACAGGAGCTTAGAAATGGCACATGAACACCGGTTTATCACCATCTGTTTACTTGCACTGATTCTGTCTCTTTCTCTCTGTGTCTCTGTGTCTCTCTCTCGCATCAGGGCCTTAGACTCCTACGGTGAGTGCTCCACCTCTGAGCTCTGTTCTTGCCCCCCATCCCCTTCCTGCAACCAACTTTTCCTGGTCAAATACAAATGTGTAATTACATCTGGAGGATTTTACCAGAAAATTTTGATGCTTTTATGTTTTTTGGTGAGCAAAAACTTGATCCCACCTTTTATAAAAGTTAGAAGAGGTAGAATATTTGATCTGTTTAACCCAGTAAAATAACTTTCCTAGCGAGACAGCATGAGGAGGATGTGGGCAATTATGGCAGGTGTTTTCTCTAGGATATCTTTTTTACTTCTTTGGCTCCAATTTGTGGTTTTATTCTGTTTTTCATTGAGAATAAAAAAAAACAAACAAAAATAAAGAGTAAAGATGAGAATTGCATATGTCGAGTGATTACCACGTGCCAGAGATTTCTGTTTCTTACCTCAACATCCTTCTGCCCATGTAGGATTTCTGATCTCCTATCTTAGACCCAAAACCCAAAGGCCAAAATTGAAACAGAAATGTTGTCTTGATTCTATGCCCTGAAGGTACTGGCCGTTTTTCTTCTCAGATCAGTTCTTTTAGAGCAATTTTGCTTCTACCGCAATTCAACACACTTATCAGGCTTGAAATCCAAACCACACCATGGGAACTGCTCTTGGTAAGGTTTCCAGGACTCTGTGCCAAATCCATTGGCCAATTCTTTATGTTTTTCTTGTTCAAACTCTCAGCATCTTTTCAAACAGTTGATTACTTTTTCTAGAAACACTCATTTCTTGGCTTTAAAGACCCTGTGCGCTTCCAGTTTGCTTCCTGCCTCTCTGGATGCTGGCCACTCCTCAGTCTTTCTTTCCCACCCTCCAGTCACATCTGCCTTCTTCCTGTCTGCGAACTCTGTCATGCTGGTTCCACTTTGTCGAAGGCCTTTGCAGCACCCGTGTGACATTCTCTCTGCTGGTTGTCACATGAAGGTTCCTTCGGTCTATGTCCAGCCAGCATTACCTCTAAGTCTCTGACCTCATTACACTATCACCGCATAATGTCCCCTTCCTGTTGCTACATTTTCCACTAAATGCATTGCTGTCTTAACATTTTTCTCTGTGAATCTTGTTTACTATATTTCTTTTTCTTCAAGACTGAAATCCTTGAGAGCAAACTCAGTATTAGCATCAAACAGAGTATGTGGCTACAGGCTGCATCCAACATGACTATCAGTTATCCTCCATCTCCTGTTAATTCAGGTCCTTGTGTGTTCCTTTCCTACAGGAACAGGTCTAACCCGTGTGGCCAACACAATGCTATGAGGATGAATGAGCTCATGGGATTATATGCCTTGGTGTTCCTGGTTTCTTTCTCTGAGGGACACCAGTTGCCATGTTGTCGATTAAGTCCCGTAAGTAGTTCTAAAGAGGCAAACTGACCCAGTCCCTGCCTTTCCTCTGCACAGGTGCATCCTTCTGTGCGCCCCTGTCCTGTCCAGCCCGGTGCTCCTCATCACCTGCTACCCAGACAGCTTTGCGCCAGAGTTCCGCTGGCCTTTCCTCTGCACAGGCCTTTGGGCCACCATCATCACCGGCTGAGGGTGGCCTCTGCAAAGTGGGCCTGGCCTTTTGTGAGGCTGCAGTTATATTTCTCACTCCTAGCCCTCTCAACTCACATCCCAACCTTTATCACCTAATTCTTTGGAAAAAGTCCTGGCCACCTCAAACACAATGCGACAATAATTCACCGGCCTACTCCAATTTCAACAAAAGACCAGTATTCAAGAAGCTGTACAAGCCCAATATAAAAAAGCACCTCCTCCAATGCTTTACTAGATGCCCATCATAAGCCACAGATTAACGTCTGAGAGGAAGGATATATTCTAGAAGAAGAGAAGGGTGACCACCACCAACAAACATTATTCAGAATCCATTCCTGCAATCAGAGGGAACAGTGTAGTGAACTTCAAGGTTTTACCTCTATACAACCACAACAGCATGAGGAAAAAGCGCAAATCCTCACTACGAGGAGAGGATGAAGAAAAGAGTCCTGAACCCTCAACAGGGGTTACCCACAAATATGACCCCTCCAATAAAGAATTCCGAGATGAAATGTGGAGGATGTTCAAAGAACTACTCAAATAATCAATGGAGCACACATCCAGAAAATTAAAGGTAAAGGTAAAGGTAAAGGCCCTCCCGTTGATCGTCGATTTGCTCGAGCGAGCCCAGTAACATCTCCATTGGAGACTTTGTTGTTACTGTGTTTGGCATATCGAATACTCTCGGTTGCTTGCTGGGCTCTCCGAGAGGGGCGGAGGAATCGAACTCGGGTCGGCCATGCTGGCCGCTTGTAAGGCGAACGCCCTACCGCTGTGCTATCGCTCCAGAAAATTAAAGGAAGAAATGAAAGAAACAGTGGACTGGATAGTCGAGAAAATACAGGAAGAAATGAGAGCAGAAATGAAAAAGCTACAAAAAGAAATGTCACAAATAAAGGATTCAGTAGATAAAATTAAAAACTCAGTGGGTGCCCTCAGCAGTAGGATGACTACAGCTGAAGACAGAATTAGTGATCTTGAAGATGAGCAACAGAAATCATACAGGCAACAACAAACAATGGGAAAAGACCTCAAAATAGTTCTAAGCCAAATCGGAGAACTAGGGGATGACTCCAAGAGGAACAACATTAGAATCATCAGAGTACCAGAAGGATAGGAAGACAACCCCAATGAAAAAGCCACTGTCACTGTCACTGTCCTCCCGTTGTTCATCGATTTGCTCGAGTGGGCCCAGTAACGTCTCCACTGGAGAATTTGTTGTTACTGTATTTGGCATACTGAATACATCACGGGTAGCTTGCAAAGCCACAGTGAAAGAAATCTTTGCTGGAAAGTTCCCAGAGTTAAAGAATGCAGATATCTAGATCAAAGAGTCAGAAGGGTGCCAGCTAAAAGAGACCCTAATAGAAACACTCCAAGGCATATCATAGTCAGAATGATGGATGCCATGGATAGAGAACAATACTGCAAGCAGCAAGGTCAAAGAAGGAAATAACATAAAAACGAGCACCCAGTAGATTTACAGCAGACCTATCAGAGGAAACCCTCCAAGCCCAAAGACAGTGGTGTGATATAGTGAAAAAAATCAATGAAATGAACGCCTTACCAAGAATACTTTATCCAGCTAAACTCTCAAAATCGATGGAATGATACACCATTTTATGGATAAACAATAACTCAGGAACTTCATAGACTCAAAATCAAACCTAAAAGAAGGACTAAAGGGGCTCCTGTAATCCACGAAGGAAAACATCCATATGCACAACAAACCGTACAAAAAGATGGCAAGAAACCCCATGACAATAATCTCTCTCAATGCCAAGGGTCTAAATGCACCAATCAAGGGACACAGAGTGGCAAAATGGATCCAGAAACTGAAACCAACATTCTGCTGCCTACCAAAAACTCATCTGAACAATCAGAGCCAACACAGACTCAAAGTTAAAGGATGGAAAATAATCCTGCAAGCAAAAAACTCCCTCAAAGAAGCTGGAGTGGCCATACTAGTATCCAACAATATAGATTTCAGTTTGAAAAAGATTAGAAGGGACAGCAAAGGCCATTTTTTATTTATCAAAGGGTATGCACAACAGAAACAAATCACACTCTTAAATGTATATGCACCTAATGAGGGACCAGCTAAATACTTAAAACAACTGCTAACAGATTTTAAGGAGGACATTGCCAGTAATGCAATGGGAGTCAGAGACTTCAACATCGCCTTATCACCTCTGGATAGATCAACAAGAACAAAACTCAGCAAGGAAACAATGGCTTTGAAGGAAGAAATAGAAAAGAGAGGGATAACAGACATATACAGGACTTTGCACCCCAAAAAGAAAGAATGCACATTCTCTAAAATTGACCACGTGCTGGGTGACAAAATATACCTCAATAGACTCAGGAAGATAGAAATTGTATCAACTGTCTTTTCAGACCACAATGCGCTGAAGATAGAAGTGAATCACACACAGACACAGAGAACCAAATCCACGTGAAAAAACTAAATGAAAGAAATTAAACAACTGGAAACTAAACAACTCAATGTTGAA